ACCCGGTGAGTCGTTACCATACTCTACTCCTCTCTTGTATGCGGACGCTGTGCGCACCACCCTCCCTGGCACCGTGAGGGCCGCGCAACTGAGCGTTGCGGATCGCGAGGGCATCCGCGCGCGACAGATCCTAGTCGACGGGTTCCCGTTGGGTGGAGACGATGCCCTATCGGAGGTATCCATCCTCGCGAAGGCGAACGAGGCACTGGAATTCCTACCGCGGGAAGTCTTAGACATCCCGGAGGGCCTTCGCTTCACAGCAGCGAAGACCCTTCGGAATGGAGGGGTAGTCTTAGAGATGGCATCTCCGGAGCCAGTCAGATGGCTGGTATCACATGCCCAGCAATTTGAAGCGGTACTGAGTGAACAGGCGAAAATTCGCCCACGGCAGTACAAGCTAGTAGCAGAATTCACGCCGGTCAGCTTCGACCCCTCCCGGGAGGAGGTATGGCGACGTACGGAAGCGGACTTGGGTCTGGATGAGGGAACAATTCTAGAGGCACGTTGGATCAAACCAGTGCACAGGCGGTACCGTGAGCAGCGTTTCGCTCATCTTTTGGTTACGGTCTCTTCCCCAGAGACAGCCAACAAGATTATAAGGGCGGGCCTGATACTAGCTGGCCGCCATGTAAGTGTAAGGAAGAACCTTGCAGAGCCAATGCGGTGCGCAAAATGCCACCGCTACGACGCAGGGCATCTAGCAAGAGACTGCCCCCAGAGCTACGATACATGCGGCACATGTGGACGAACACATAAGACGGCGGATTGCACAGTGAAAGACCCGCAACAGCATCATTGCGTTAACTGCAATGAGAAGGGGCATGCTGTCTGGGACCGTGACTGCCCGATTTTCCTAGACCTCCTGAGCAAGGTGGATGCCCGTCATCCTGAGAATAGTCTACAATTCTTCCCCACTGCAGACCCCGACTCGTGGGTCCCCAAGGTGAACAGCTGGACACTGCCGATTATGCGAGGGCAGCTGAGCGACATTGTAGCGGAAGCGATTGACAAGGGTCCAAGCGCGCTGCCGCGGCGTGCTAGAACACAGAAACAACGAGCCCAGATGACGCAGACGCAGCTCCCCTTCGCTTCGCAGAGACCTAACGGAACGGGTGCAGATGCATGAATTGACTAGTAAACAGATGAACACCGGTACTACTAACGCATTACTCCGAATATGGCAGCAAAACGTCAATAAGGCGCTTCTAGCGCAACTGGATCTCCTGCACTCAGCATCGCCGGACGACTTCGACATCCTAGCAATCCAGGAACCGTACATCGATCACCTTAAACTAACGCGAGCGAACCCGCGATGGACGGTAGTATATCCGACCGGACACCACGACCAAGCAGACAAAACGCGCTCTATCCTCCTCATCAACACTCGCATCTCATCCAACGCATGGCGCCCAATCGCAGTCCCATCACCGGACGTCTCCGCAGTTACGATCATCTCGCGCGGCCGCAATGTACATGTCTTCAACCTCTACGTAGATGGAGATCATGACCGGGCGCTGCATGCAATAGCCAGAGCTACGAGGCGACTGTTACCCAATGACACCGAGGACGAGCACCCGACCTCTAACTCCCTCCTTTGGCTAGGCGACTTCAACCGTCACAACCCACTCTGGAATGAGGCTCGCAATCACCACCTCTTTACCCCCGAAGGCCTCGACCGCTCACAACGTCTCCTCAACCATGTCGCTTCGTTCGGGCTGGAGATGGCACTCCCAGCTGGTATCCCGACGCTCGAGGCCTCCCGAACGAAAAACCTCACACGCTCAGACAATGTCTTCTGCTCTACTGACCTCATTGAATCCCTCAGATCCTGCAAGACAGCACCTCACCTGCGCCCCACCAAGACCGACCACTTTCCCATCCACACGATCTTCGATCTACCACTTGCATGCTCCGTTCTGCCGCTGCGACGCAACTTCAGAGACGTGGACTGGAAGGCATTCAATACTGCCCTCCGTGTTGCACTGCAGGACAGCGCACTTCCGGAGGAGATCCAGACGACGGACGACTTCGATCGCACATTATCCCTACTGATGAAGGCCATCAACAGGGCGGTTGAAAAGGAGGTCCCCTACTCCCGGCCATCGCCTTTCTCCAAGCGATGGTGGTCTAAGGAGCTCGCTGCCATGCGCAAGATCAAGCAGCGGCTTGGCTGTATAGCTCACAAGCACCGGCATCTGTAAAAACCACCTTTGCGAATTACACCTATTCAGTACAAATTAGCTCTTAATAGACACAGTAGTTGAATAGTGAAAAATAGTGCAAAATCGAGAGGTCCCCAAAAATAATTGCACTATTTTGCACTATTAATGCAAATTCGTGCAAAGTAGCACTATAGTAGACGGAAATAGCGCTACAGTAGACGTTGATAGTAGTGGATAGAGTGGGTCCATAATTTCTGACTAGTGTAGAAATGCTTAATATGACCTCAAAACCATCTGTTTATAAGCCCCAGATGCATTTCAAGTGCTGGAAAAAATATTATAAAAAAGTATCCTCACTCAGTCTTGAACCCCCAACCCCACTTTCAGATAACACTCCTATTCCGAAGGGGTGCTCTATACCACTGCACCACCAGAGCTTATATAGATCCTCTCCACAAGTACTATATATATCCATCACTGCTGGACTTGGGCAAAGTGGTGACACCTCACCTTGAGATTCACCTGCTGAGGCTTGCATATGTGTAATGTCTGGGACTATGTATATAATATGGAGTGTGCTATAGAGTATGCTTCATGGTCTGAATGCTGTGCTGACAGCCTAGTCCTATACATGATAACAAGTTCTATGTTGAGTTGTGCCCTCAAATATAAGTCAGCTATCATGGTGATTTTGCAGCTATAGAGGTGTGTAATGCTTGAGTTGAGAACTATGAGCTATAAATAAAGGAT